AATGATGTGGGAAGATGATCATCTTGTCCGATGGAATTGATTCTTTTTATTGTTCAATGAATGAATTTATTCACTGAATAAGGTGTTTATTTTTATGCTTGAATCAATAGATGATAAAAATATAGAATCTATTTTTATGAGCTATATTGATTTGATGCTGAATTGATAACTCGTATGTCTGTTGGAATGGTCTGATGTCAATGAATTCTTTGGAAATGTGAACAAATACATAAAAGTTTGATGGAGAGTTGTAATGTGGGATTTTGTTTTGTGAATGAACTTATTAAGAGATTTATGTCGTTTTTCAAAATGTAGGCGGCAATGGAAATTTTTATTAAACTTTGGTTATAAAAACAATTTTATCGGAAAATTGACATTTTGAAATTCAAATTTTAAAGATTTTCGCTAAATAATTCAAATCCAAATTTAATGGAAATTCTACAACAACTTTAAGACTTATTCGACTATAAATCATTTGGCCTTAAAAAACTTTTCTTTAAGAAACATAAATAAGAAAACATATAAATTTACATCTTATAGATTTCTAAAGCAACGATGAAACCTTGAAAATTCAAATTTTTTTGCTCTTTAAATTTAGATGTAGGTGCTTTAGAATATAAATTTCAACGATTAGCTTGAAACTGAATTGCTTTAATAAATTTTATTAAACTTGAGGAATAAATTGAATTGTTGGTTTTATATGCTGCTTTAAAAAGTTCCATCTTTTAAGCACCTGTAGCAAAAACTGCGCTTAATTTACACTCAATTCCCATAAAACTTTTTCTTTTCCTTCCCCATTACTTATGATACTACATGCTGAACATCCATAGACATCTTCACATAAAAAAAATGGTGAGAAAAATGGTGTCATATTCACAGCAAGTGAGCACAGTATGTGGCTTCATTAATTTACAAGTATCTTCATCTTTCCAATTCAATTTTTTTTGCTCTATCCTATTTCTATGTACGATTGCGACCTCAAGCAGCTCTATCTCTCTATACATATTTTTTTTACTATAGCTTAGTGGCTGTTGTGGATGGTTTTCACATTTCTTAGAAGAAAATTTATTTTCTTATGTATGAGAATTTCAATTAAACTTTATCACACAAAAACCTTCAAATTCAGGCACTTTCGAACTTAACGACCCAAATAATTGCGGCTTCGTATGTTTACGATTCCTTTACGTTTGAAGATATGTTTGCTGATTTTATTTGTGTAAATATATACATTGAGTTTGGATGAAGCAAATGTAATCAACAGTAAGAAGTTTTTTTTGAAATGTATTTATCATATTAAGTCAGGTATGATGCTGAGATTTATAAATCACTTTGGACGATTTGCTTAAGATTTATTTTGATTCTTAAAAGATTTGAAATCTGAACTTTTTTGAAGAAAAATGTTGTCGACACGAGACTAAAATGATTGTATAGAGTTGACATACATCTTGGGTTTCTTATTAAGCAATACTCCTTCAATGTAAATCATATAAAATCAACAAATTTTTAGCTGTAAACAAAAATGCGCTTTATACATCCTGTAACCAAAAACAAATCACAAACAATTATTTTAGATTCAAAGAATAAACAGGTTGTTCACGAACATGTGGGTCGTACATGCGAATGGTCAATCTGAAATAAAATTGTTATACCTGAAAATGAAATCATCAAAACGAATAAAAAGAAACTTTTTTAATCAGATAATGAAAGCCGGATATTGAAAGCTAAGAATTGAAATCCCATTTTCATGTGAGACGTGAAAAGTTTCTTTTTTCTTTTGTTGAGGGATGGACAGCATGATGTGGAAAAATAAAATTGGCCTTTCGTGATTTTCTTCTTTTTCTACTTTTTTTTCTTCCCTTTTTATTTTTCATTCAAAAAAAAGATTTTTTTTTCTTCATTTTTTCTTTTCTTATTATTGAGCTATATTTACAAATTGTATCAGAAAAAAAAATGTTATTGGAAATAAAATCCTATCGTCTATTGGCAATTTTTATTCTAGGTAGATTTCACCTTTTACTTAAATTTCTACATTTTTTTCTCTTTATTTTCACTTAGTCACTACAAATCTTATCTAGGTAATGTTTTTTATCTTCTTATATAAGTTTTTTTTTCATTTTTCACAATTTTTAAGGAATTAAGTATTTGTGTGAAGTTAGCTTGAAATTTTCTTAGCTTTTTGATTGGCATAATGAAATTTAAATGTTAGAAATGTTAAGCAATAACCGAAAATTTATTAATTACTATGTTTCTAGCTTAGGAGATTCTAAATTTTCTTTAGATCTTCAGTTGAAAAATCTCAAAAGTTCGCTTGTGGATATTAAAAAGTAAGTTGAGTCCATTTTATTTTCCGACTCTTTTCTTGTCTCTTTAATTTTGTTTAAAATACTCAGAAATCAGTTAAAAAAATATTTAAACTAACTTCACACAAGTACGAAACAAGGAATGGCTTCTTAGTAATACCATACTCATCATTTTCTATACAAAATCACTCTACACAGTTACAAATATAGCTAGATTTTTCATTGATTTTCATAAAAAGAAAAAAAGTATATGGAAGCTTATAGTCAAGTGGAATCTTTAAATTTAGATTCATTGGTACTACAAAGAAGCCATTCCTAGAAAATATTTTCATCGTTTTTCAACTTCCAAAGTGGAAGTTATTATTGATTTATAAAGAATAGCAAAACAAAAAATTTTTATTTTATTTCTTAAAAAACTTTTTTCATTTAATTTTCTTCTTTTTTTTAATAATTTAGAAAAATATTTTTTTCGTCAATTTTCTTTGTGACAAAATTTAATATTTTCTCTTCCTTTTTTTGTTCAATCTCATTAAATTTGTATTCATTATGCTCATTCACAATGTTCATGTCGACAGGGAAAAAAAAGAACAAACAATCAAGATGTTTTTTAATCCAATTCAATATAAAAATTATGTCATAAACGTTGTTTTATTTTTCTTTTTTGAATATTTCATTTTTTTGCTACTGCTGTTTCTTTTACATCACAAGCGTACACGCACATGTACACACAAACACACATGGGAGATGGAGCATGAGAATAGAATTGTGGGTTGTTAAGATGAAGATTGAGGAGATGAAAAATGATAAAGTTGAGATATTTTCTTGGATTTTGGTTTTGTTGGTGGAGATGGCGAATTTTTAAGCTGTTCAATTTTGGTGGCAATTTTGAATTTAGAAAGTTTTTGAAGCTTGAATTGCAAGAAAATGTTGAAATCGATCATTTTCATTTAACTTACAATTTAAGATGAATATTTTCAATAAATTTAAAAATTCTAATTCTTGCTAATTGAAAAATATAAATCTGAACTTTAATCAATAATGCCTGATTCTGTATTTTTGTACAGTTTAGATAAATACTGAATGATTTAATTGCTTTAAGGTCTGGTCTCCCAAACATATGCTTTAAATAGATTTCCTACAGCTGCAATTCTGTTTTTGATTTTTAAAAATCATTAATTTAAATCCAGAAACTTCAAAAAGCTTCCAAAGACAAAATGTTTACAATTCTAAATATTTCATCTCAAAAACATGCCTAAATTTAGATTTGAAATTCATGTCACTTCCAACAATTTCTCTCTTTTAGTAAATATGTGTTTTCATATTTACGTAATCAAAATTCATTTTTTGTTGTAAATTTTATTATTCAAATCATACACGATTTGATTTCAGCGTTTCCGTTTGCATTCCTTTCTCTGGGTTGTTTGAAGTTTATTTTTTTTTCGTAAAAAGCACACACAAGAGTAAAAAAAATGTTCAACAATCAAAGTACAAAATAAGATAAATATTATATGAAAAAAATTGAAAATGAATTTTTGAAAATGAGCGAAATATAATTTTTTGTAAATCCCTTAGAGGCAATTTTTTATATTTATGTTTATTATATTTGTAACTTAGATACACCCACAACGCATGACTTCCTTATTTTCAATTTATTTTTTGGCATTCATTCTCAATTCACAATAAATGAGGAACACAAAATGATAAAAAACGAGTACGAGAGTTTTGTAATAAATATAAATAAATTGTCAAATGTCTAGAATTTTTAAAATTACAACTTGTAATAATGAAATGATAAAATTCGGAAAATTGTGAAAGTTCAAAATTATATTTAATGGAAAATCGATATCATTTTCATTTCCTTTAAAATTGTATAAACACAATTAGGGTTGACGTGCTTTAATGTTGAGTGGAGCTTATTATGTCATTATTGCCTTTGACACATTAAAGGTGGAGTTGAATTTTTAATGAAAATTTTATTTATTGAGGAGCATTTAAAGTGATGAGTTTTTGGTATTTAGCGTATTTAGATATTTTGTAGTCAATATCATAATAATTTGCTCATATATTTAGTTCCAGTTTAAAGCATTTGAGATAAACCTAGATAAAAATGAAAATTTAAACTTCATTGAAATTAGAATTCAAAAAATCTTATTTCTTTCTGAGAAAACCATCAAGATTCAAATCAATTCCAAACCAATCATAACATCGCTCAATTATCAACATCAAGTTGTCATTAAAAGTGTCATGAAGGATAATTATTGACATTATCAAATTTCTCTGACTTAAGTTCTCATATTAATTACTTTAATCATTACAATTAAATTATTATATTCCAAACAAGAACTAGATAATCAATCATATGCTCCAGAAAAATTGAATTACCAAAAAATGAGGTTTCAAATAATTTATCATTTAATTAAATCAAATTATTAGCTTCTGGGATTATACAATTAATCACATGTAATCTCCTAATTAACCTTTGCAAAGGAACCTAATTAATTGATGGAAATTTCTCAAGTTACTTTAAAGCATTTGAAGACAAGAATTTGTCAAAAAGAATTTTAACTTTGAAATTGGATCTTGAATAATTTTTTTGTTTAAAAATTTTTGTCTTCTTTGTTTCTGCTCGTAGAAATTTTCAGCAAAAAAAGCAGATTTTAGAATCTGATATTCAAAATCTCATTTTTGTGTGCCTTGATACATTTAAACAAATAAAGTCTTTATAATAAATTTTCTCGTTTATTCTTCTAAATTAAAAATCACAAAGGATTTATATCTCTTCAATTTAATACGACTTTATTTTTAAGTCCTGATTCTTAATTTTTCTTTTTTCCCAAATTCTTTTTTTATTGGCTTTTTTTTTGTTGATGAAAAAAAATGATCAAACTCTAATCTGATTTAATGCAGCTACTTATTGATAATAAAACCAAATTATGAAGACGATTTAGCGTTCTTTTTTTATAAGCCAAACCCTCCTCCCTCGAAAATCATAAAAAATTCTATGCCAAAATGTATTAAAATCAATGATGCTGCAAAAAAGAAAAGTTTTCATTTTTTTCTGTCGTTTCAAATTTTCATCACTTCACATTTGCTTTGGAAAATATTTCTTTAGCTCGTTATTTTGAAAGAATGAAATGAGAAATCAAATTGGAACGGAAGAAAATCTGTATTGGATATTGATGTGGGTGTGGGTTAAGTTGGAGTTTGCAAATGACTGAAGGATTGTGACGCATTTACATGATTTGTGGTGTTTTTTTGTAGCCACATATGTTTGGCCCGAATGGCACAAATCGGTTAATCGATGAGAAATCAAACAACAATCCGGTGTGACTCGGGCATGGTGCTGGATTTAAATTGAAGCTAGCACCATGTCAGGGTCATGCCAACTTTGCGCCGGAATTCTATTCGATTAACCGACTTGTGCTGTTCGCATGGTACCAAACTATCTTAAAAAACATGTCAACGCTATTTGAACTAGATTTGAACTAGTTTCCTGGAAGAATGCAGGCTGGATATGTTTAATTGATTTAAAACTTGGCTACTCAAGTTATTTTAAGTTATCAATTAAAACTTTTTGTTTGTGTTAAAGCTTCTGCTTTATAGCATTCTCTTTAATAAATCATTAATATTCAGTTTTTCCTCCAAAACTGTGACAATCCAGACAAACAGACAAACATAATTCATCATCTCACATCTAGTCTTTTAGAACAGTACTTCGAAAAGAATATTGAGTAATTCTCACTTATACAGCCCTCATTCTACATCCATCTTCCCTCAGTTTTACATCATTCATCCGATAAAGCAAGAAAAAACGAAAATATTTTTTTTATTTACTATTCATTGAATTCACGTGCGTCTAACGCATTTCTTCATTTTATCTCTCAAGAATGAAAGAAAAGTAGAATGAATAAGGAACGGAAAATCCAAAAATACATAAAAAGCGTGGAGCAGAATGAGTGGAATGGTGATGATGATGATGATATGTGTCATCGTCAGAAGATTCAAACGACAGGCAATATATATTCAAATCACTCAAATAATCGATACGCACTGTTGCTGGTTCGTATTCGACTGGCAATGCCATCATTTCGAATCACACCATCACCAACACTCGTATTAAAATGTTTAGTAAAAAAATGTCGAACAGTAGCAAAATGTTTTCGATGTCACCAAAAGTGCATTGATATATTGGTCCTGTCAACATGTGACTGGTTTAATGTTGAGTTCAAAACATCCATGGGCAATAAATCGCAATGATTTACTGTCGATGATGTTGTCATTTCCCCATTATTGACACTTCCCATACATTGATTATGTGTTTCGATTGTAAATGAGCGAATTTCTTCATTAAAATTATCATTTAATGCATCTCGACCCTCGTTAATGTGCTCACAACTGCCATTCCTCCGACACACTCGACGACGTGAAGAATTTATGAAATTACACCGATACACATAGACCGTAATGAAGGTAAATAGAACGCCTACGGATGAGGCGAGTACAATCAGTAGACCTGGATGACTTGAAATATTCTCATTTCTACGAATATCGCTCCAATGTTCCGATTTTTCGCCATTCATTGTGTGATTTATGGTCATAATGTGCTGCTGTTGCTGATGATCTGTTGCTTCGATATTTTCATTTCCGCTGTTATTATTACCGTCTTCAAATGCCTTCCCTCGATTTAATGACGGTCGATTTTCACTATCGTCATTATAATGACCATATCGACTTTTGCCTTTATTGTTATTGCCACTAACACTACTGCTGTTATCATTTAATCGATTTACTCCATCAATTGATTTACTTTTATTATTGGTTGCTGGTGCTACATAATGGATATTCTCCATTCCATTATCCTTAATTGCATTTACTTTATTTGTTGTTGTCGAATGAACTCCAACCAAGTCGGACTTGAATGTTGTTGTTGCTTTTCCTACCTTTTTCTTGCTATTATTATCAACTATTAAATTTCGATTGATTATTGTTGTGCCATTATTGTTGTTGTTGTTGTTGTGTACATAATCAACATTCGACATACTCAATTGTATGCCATTTGTGATCAACGAACCATTTTCCATCGATGATGACGATTTAAAATGTTTAGTTTTCATTAGAATTAAATTATTTAATCCCCCGTTTATCTTTTGTTTGTGCGCATCTACGCTTACGAGAGATAAATTTTTATTGCCATTGTTAGTGTTGATGCTTTCATTATTGTTTAATGCCTTTATCTTTGTTTTCACTACGTTAACTGGATGCGCTAATTTTGCCTTTTTCATTAGCTCATCTTCATCCTCCTCACTTGCCTTTAAATTTTTCATTTTATCACTCGATTTCATTTTGCTCTGTTGATTTTCTGGCTGTTGTTCATGTTGCTCATAAAAATGCGTATCGTTTGCTATTGTTTTATTTATCGTCATTGTCTCGTTTGATAGATTTCCATCATTTTTAACTTTCAAAGATTCTTTTGTCATGTTCCTAAATTTATTGTCATTTGATGTGATGTTGGTGGCGTTCGTGGTTGATGTTTTTTCAAAAGTTTTACTTTCACTGGCTTTATTTATTATACTCATGCTTTTATTTGGCACTGCTGCTCGTTCGTCACTTGAATCATTTGTTCTAGTAAATGAGGTAATTAATTTCTGTTCATTCCAACAATTTGGCACTGTTTCTCCATGAATATTTGAGCTCTCATTCCATTGACCACATTTTCTATAACCGCCATCGTGAGGGAAATAGGATATAGAATTTAAGTGTCTTTCTTTACGCTCGACATCATTTTGATTGTAATCAATATTATCGTTGATATATTCATTAGTTAATGTATAATTCTCATCATCAACATCAACACCAACAGCATCATAACATTGTTCAATTTCCACAAGTTGTGAGCACTTAATGAGATTTCCATCTATAAGTAAATGCCTCAAATTCGGTGATGTTTTCATAAATGAACGATGAATATTTTCCAATCCACAATATCTCACACTCAGTAATAATAAAGCGGGTAGTGTTAATTGGGGCATGTAAATAATTTTGTTATTCGATAAATCCAGCACTTGTAAATTTATCAAATTCATCAAGTCATTGGAATTGAGCTCCATAATGCGATTATTTTGCATATATAATTTGATTAAGCTCGATGGAAGACTCGATGGTATTTGTGTCAATTTATTGTGATCTAAATGTAATATTGTTAACAACTCTAATCGCCCTAATGCATCCTCCTCTATTGATGACAAATTATTTTGCGACAAAATTAATTTATGCAAAAATGGATAGCTCTCAAAGTCGCCACTTGCAATTATCTGTAATGAGAAAAGGAAACAGAGAGAGAGAGAGACATGAGATAGATATACATTAAGAATAATAAAATATACATGAAAATGGGAGATGGAAATTGGAATAATAATTGAAAGAAAACAACAACAATCACAATTGATGCAAAGTGATAACAAAAAAAATGGGACGAAATACATGCACAAGTTGGAAATTTGATCTTGCAGATTTTTGGGTAGTATAGTAAGCGAATCGCGGTGTAAGTAACAGTGGTCAAAAGTACCAGTGGAAAAATGTCAGTGGGGCATATGTAAAGTGGGCAAAAGTCAGTGGGCAAATGTCCCAAACCTTGACTATTAAAATTTAATAATTCTTTGAATGATGAAGTTAAATGAGAATCTTCATAAGCATTCAATAAGTAAAGACTGGAGTGTAACCAGAGAATAAGTTTGCAACTCCTTCCGAAAATCAAAAACTCAAGTATAGAGCTAGACATCATCCCAAAGCCCAATTTACCAGCCCCCTGATTCAGACAACAAAGTGTTTAGTTCTCCCATCCATTCAAAAAATTGAGCTTCACAAGATATCCATACCCAAATAGATTTCATTTCTATTCTTAGGGTGACACCCAGCATGAATTTCTTTAATAAGGACAAAGATTATATCAAACAGATAGAAGACATTTCGAATTATTTTCTATCATTCTGAATATTCAATATCGTGTACTGCAGCTTACAATAAAATTAACATAACTGATGGATCATGTCAATAGCATATTCAAGCTAGTATAGCAAAAATAGAACAAATTTTAGCATATCGTATTGTGATTGTAGATAAAATCAACGAGCTTTCTTCCATCCATTTTATTTTATTTCTCTGCATTGTGATTGAGAATGAATGAAAAAATGCTTTTCGTTTCAAGATAGCAACAGAAACAATTGCTACATTCAGTGCCTCACAAATTATTTTTTAAATTTATTTGAGAAGAAAAACGTTCTTCTTATGAGCTAGCAGACGCGAGGTTTATTCAGTACAAAACAACGAGAAGTCGAGAAGATGGAAATGGAAATAAAAAGTTCAGTTTTGAGAATGCGATCGGGCATATTTCACCAGTCATGTCACCGCATGGTTGTCGTATTATTATTGTAATTTATACTGACTAGTCAGACACTACAAGTGCATATGGCATGAAGGAATCTTATGTCATTATTTATGAAGAGATTCAAGGAAGAGAAAATTCCTTAAATTCGGAATGCACACGATGAAGAATAGCATGAAAAGTTCTAGAGTAGTGAAAACATCGACTTTTTTTCATTTGTTTGCTTTTCACAATTGGAATAAGTTATTTTCTTTATGCAGGCGAAAGAAGAATGGTAAGAAATAAAAGTTTGTGCTTGCATGCAGCTTCACATTTTCGCATTTTTATTTCTCAATGAGTTTATCTATCTTTGTGTACATTTGCTCACAACTTTCGAAGTTTGAATGAAACATTTCATTAGCATGCATTTTTGAGATGATGCGTGATTGCGGAAGTTATTTGACTTCAGGCTGAATTTTGATTTAAGTGGAGATGTTTGTAGAAATTGCTACAAAAGCATCTTGATTGTTAGGTTGATAGAAGCTATGCATTGATAGATTGGATCTGAATTATTTTAATTTGTTAAGCTATTCTTAAAGGATCTAGCTAAGGAGTATAGTCTTGAAAATGCAAATTGTTGTGTAATCTTCTCATTCTGTAGCTCTCCAAGATTTGCAAGAAAATTACGAATAATTTCAAACACAATTAAAGTCACAAAGAAAATCTAATTACTTCTTCAAAGCATTATGTAAATTCCATGGTCATTGCCAAAAGTTTTCCATGAAAACACTCATCTCAGTAAGATATAATAAGGGTTAATTATTCTCAAACATTCTTAACTGATAAAACTCATAAAATATGTCAGAAACTGCGCTCCAAAAATTATGGCATGTAATTGAAACTTTTCAACTTCCAACAATTCTTCCTTCTTTTGTTTCTACAAGATAAACATTGGGGAAGGAAGAAAGAGCGAAAAACTTTTTTATTATCTTTTTAATTCCTACTGGTTTTTTTTCTTTTCATTCTTGCTTTATCATTCGCTATCTATCTCCTTTTTGTACTCATTCATTTATACTCGCAGAAATGAAAATGTCTCAGTTTTTCACTTTTGTATAAACTTCTGCAACCACATAAAGTATGAAGAAGTAAAATGGGAGAGCGGGGAAATTTGAATAATTCAAATAAAATTATGTATAACTGAATAATAATTTTGATAACAGTAAAAGCCGCAAGATTTTTGTTTAGCACCGCTTCTTTTGGGATGGTTTATAGAAAAATTAGAATTTTAAGAGTCTAGTTTAGAAGATCTAGATTTAAAATTACACTTTCTGTGAGATTAAATGTTTATGGTTAATAGGCTAGAGCTTGACTCCTTGAGTGTTCTATGAATAGGTATACCTAATATAATAACTTAATATCCCGAATGAAACAAGTCGGTTAATCGTTTGGAAGCCCGGCATCAAGCCAGTGTGACTCTGGCATGATACTGAATTTAAATCGAATTCAGCAACATCCTAGCTTGGCGACGGATTTCTATTCGATTAACCGATTTGTGCTATTCGAGTATGTCGTTAGCATTGAGGAAATCCTTGTCGTATCAACCAAATTTTATGTAATTTTAAGATGTCCACTATTGGTGCTATTGGAACCTCTATAGTCTGGATATCTACAATAAAAGGTTTCAGATATCAGGTCTGCTCAGTGCACTGGCAGATTTACCTACAAATTACTCGATACATAGATTCCATTATTCTCAAACACTACCCAGGATATTAAAGTTTAACAAAATCTAGTAAATCGCAACTTTCCAAGTCATACCTTCATCTACGGTGCGAATACAATTTTTAACTCAGACCAACAAGCAGCATATCAACCATTTGTCTAGATTCTACATGAAAATATGCAGAGAGAAAAACTCCAACTTTTTCCTTTAATTCTATGACAGAATAATTTGCTATCTCAGCTGAATTTCTCGATTGCTACTGCTTCTAATGTTGAGTAGCACTTGCACAACATTAAAATTGATAGCAATCTTCAGAAAAGAGGAATTTCTAAGCCTTTTTTTGGAGTTCTACAACAGAAAACTTTTTTAGCCTTAAGAATAAATCTCCATGAAAAATTGCCCCATTCGAAAAATAATTCAGCCGGTAAGATGTGGAGTTGAAGAAGAAGAAGAAAAATGAAAATAAAAAAAAGGAGATTTGTTTTATGGAAAATTGCTGTAAAATTTAAAACCATTTCTTTTTATGTCTATTGCCTTCGATGAAAATTATTTTAAAGGCGAAAAAGAGTATTTACAGTCAGCAGGAACCGAGAAGATAAACTGAATTAATTAAGAAAATATTTTTTTTTGTGCAAAAATTTCATGAAATTTATGTTATGTTAAATATTATACTTAAGCATCAAACAAGCACAAAAATTCTTTATAGTGTTTGTGTTGAATGTATATAGAATATAATTTAAATTCCATTCTTCATTTTCATTTCTAAGGAAACTATGAAAACTGCTTTCCTTGCTCATCTCGTCATCATCAACATCGCTTGCTGCTTTTACCCTTAAATTTAATTATTTCCATTGGAATACGTAATTATGACTATTTTTTCAGTCGCTTCACGTTATGCTGTTCGCATTTATGCACGTTTGAAATATACTTAATAAGCTCGTACTCAACGTCATTGTTTGATTGGTAGCTGATTCGAGTTTTGAATTTTAAAAAAATTTCGTGCAAATGAAAAATAAAATAATGGAACTATATGAACGACTTTTAGGGTAGGTTGTTGAATGACTAAGGTGTAGGTGGTGATAGGGTTAAGTTGACTTTAAATGAACTGTTCTTATGTAGACTTATAAAACTGCCTAAACGGTATATTTCTTCAAACTGCTAATTAGTGACATAGTTTTTGAATAAAATTAATTATTTATGTCAATTTTAAAAATTTAAATTGCCAATTATTTTCATCACGTGGGCATTCAATTTAACTGCAATGTGTAGGCATTAAATTAAATTGTTATGTTGTTAGATTTCTTAAGAAAATTTGAAACCCAAACCCACTCTTTCTTTTAAAAATATTCATGTTTATACTAAATAAATAAAGAGTCTGTGTGGATATGGCTCGAAGAGCATATTTGTAGTAGATAAGGCTGAAAAAAGGGCTCGCGTTGAACTGGTTATATCTGTATGACGGATAGCTTGAATGAGATAAGTACCTCGGTGGCTGAGTGGGAGGGATCTCCGATCGAGTAGTCAGACATAAGGTAGTTATAGGGAGATCTACAGTCTGTCCAGAGGAACTTAGTTCCCGTTATATAAAACACTTATCAAATCTATTGCTTTGCATAGTTCGGAAACCTGAAATTTAACACAAGGGGGATGAGGAAGCACTTGGTGTCTTCAAAAGACAAATACTGCGAGCGATTTATGGTCATGTGAAGGAAGGAGAAAATTATCGAAGTTGAGCTTTATCAGTTATTTCAAGAAGCTGATATTGCTACAGTTCTCAATGCAAATTGCTTGAGATATGCTTGACATGTGTTCAGACGCTCACAAGATGCCCAAGCATTAAAAGTGACTGTAGCAGACTTTATGGATGGCAATATATCACGGGTTGAAAAAGACGCTAGAGTCCTTAATATCAAGAAAAAGCAGAAGGTTTCTAAGGATAGAGCTGATTTCAGACGATCTATAAGCGCAGCAATGGGCCCACGTGCGCCCCAGCCAAGGAAGTATATTAAATAAATTGAATTTGATCATTTTGATCAATTTGGCATGCATGACTTATAACCAAAGCCTACATTTTTTCAATTTCCTAAGAAAATTTTTTGTAAATTTTAAAAATGCATGTAGCTCAGGATGAAACTTTAATAATACAAAGTTCCTGTGAAAAGCAATATGAAGGCACCAATAAAAAATCATACTGTCTCAGAGGAATTTGCCAGCATTGATAAAAAAAAGTCAGCTAAAAATCATATTGTACAAGTTTCCATGGACATATTGAAACAATAAGAACAAATATTAATTTTCCTAGATTTGAAATAAAAGCACAGCTTGAAACTTGCAAGTGAATTTAATTTAGTAAACATTCTGGTTAGGATGTGGCACTATATGCTCATCTGTTTTGTATTATCTTAAATTTATTGAGTTTTGTAAATTGCTAATGCTTAAACGAACATTAAGTCAAAGACCCTAATAAAGCTCAAAACCAATTACTAATTAAACAATGGGCTAATTACAAAGGAGGCCGATAAAGGAGGAGAAGGAAATATTTTTAATTAATCCTTATCAATGAATTTTTTCATCCGTAAATTTTAAATTTAAAATTAATTGAAGTAAAACAAAGGAGAAGTAGCTTTCGCTCCAATGAATTTTTCCAACATAAATGATTTTTCTCGAACACACAGAGAGAAGGCAAGGCAAAGTAAGAATAAAATCCAATTTAAAATTGTACATGAAATATATTTTCGAAAGTTCAAGAGAAGTAAGAAGTAAAGAAAATCCTTTTGTAATTTTTTTTTCACAAGTGAATAAACCTATAGAGAGATCATGCAGATATTGAGAGAGAAAGACACACACACACACACACATAAAGATGTTAAGATATACTTACATTTAGAAAATTTCCATATAAATTTAATATTCTAACAGATTGTGCCAGTGAATCTGGTACTTGACATAGTCCCACATGACTGTAATCCAATTCCATGATACTCCATGTTACAGCAAATGCACGTAAGGCATTTTTGAGCATAACATTACCAGCGATCGAGAGACGCGCTAGTTGTGCTATATTTTGTATCGTTTGTAGTGATGCAATATGAATCCGATTAAATGACAAATCGAGTATTTGTAAGCTTGTCAAGTCACTAAATGCGTCATTTACGACGTCAGATATGTCATTATGAGATAAATCCAATCGTCTTAAACTTGGCAATTGAAAAAATATATCCTTATTGATGACACTGATTCGATTACATGACAATACTACATCACTTAAATTTGATTTATTTCGAAATAAAGTTGGATCTATGACACTCAGCTCGTTCGATGATAAGTCAAGAAAGTTTAAATTTATTAAATTATCAAACGACTCTCCATCGATCGTTGTGATGAGATTACGTGAGAGATTGAGTGTCTCAAGACATTCACATTTTATACAACTAAAATTTTTCAATAGATTTGAACTTAAATCAAGTGCCTTCAAGTGCTCATGTCCGTTCACTTTAAATTCACTGAATCGATTATGCGACAAGTCGAGCGATGTAAGATTGTAAAATTTGCTCACATTTAGTGTCGATAATAAATTATTTGATAAATTTAATGCTATTACATTACTCGTACTGATATTCACATTGAGAATATTGAGATTTGTGAAGTTGGCATTCGATAAATTTAAAATTAAATTTTTAGTTCCAGTATCATTCACATCATCATTGTTGACATTTCGACGTTTACGCGTCGATGACATTAAAATGTCATGGGAATGAAACAATAAATTATTAACGTCAGTCTTAAAATCGAACAAATTGTCATAACGTTTATTGTCAATTCTCCTATGATCATAACCAATGAATGTTGTGGCACGTTGATCTCCCACTGCTTCTGTCAATGTCTTTCTCGACACCAATGGTGCTGTGAGACTGTCGGTGGTCTCTCTCTGTGCATCCTGATATAAATGATTCGTGGATATTGTTGTTATGGTTGAGAGTAGTATGATGAGGTGTGAAAATGAGTTTGGCCAACATGAATTTATCAATGTCATGCTTTTGAATGATTTTTGTCGTTTTGATGGTTTTTTCAATCATTTGGGAATACGAGACAGGTAAAATGGCTGCTGCTTTGGCTTTCGTTCCCCCCTTTTATCACACTTGTGTGGTTTTTATGTTAGGATGTGATGATATTTGGCTTATGGTTCTCCTATCTAATCCATTATCTCTTTCCAATTGTTATTTTTTTCTTTTTTAACCTCCTCCTCCTACTTTTGATGTCAAAATGTTGATACGTTGCTGCCCCTTCTATATGCTTTTATGCTGTTTCTGTGTTTTTATATCTGACAGAGAAAAATAAAGAAAAATGAGAGGAAAAAAAATTAGTTTTTTTGGTAAAATAAAAGTTTTGGATATAAAAAAATATGTTAAACATACATGTGAAAATGAAAGTTAAAGTTCATCATGGGTTATCAAAATGTATTTGAATAAACAGTAATAAAAGTAAAAGTTCAAAAAGTTCTGATCTGAGCAAATTGAGATTGACGCATTTTTCGTGTCAGATTTCTGATTATTTATAAGGCAGAAAGTTTTAGCTTAAAATTGATGAGGAACTGAAAGGTTTTACTGTGTGTAGGCGTAGTTTTTGCGATGCTTTAGGTAATTACAGGCTATTTTTGAATAGATGGATCTTAAATGTTGGTATTTTTAAAATGGCACTGCAGGCAGTTCCCTTTCATGACCTAAAATCTATTTTGACAAACAAAAATCCATTCTCAACATTTTACAATAAATAAATTCAATTCTGCTTTTAAGCGAAATTTAATCACAAATACGAACTTAATTTTATTGAAACAATTAATTAAATGATTTAATGTTCAAACGGAATCAACAGTAATTTTAAATATCAACAGTTATTTATGTTTTTTGTAAATACTGTAGCGTGAACATTTTTGTTTATGCATTTTTACACAATTCCACGCCGATTTTACACCATTTTGTGCTTGCGGCAAATTTTACGTTTCCTTTACGTGAATAATGTTTGAACTGTTTGTTGAACTTTTTCATCAATTCACTTAGGGGCCGTTCACTTATTACGTTACGCAAAAAAACGACTTTTTTCACCCCCCTCCCCCCCTTGTTACAATATGTTACAACTCACTACCCCCCCTCTGAACGTTCATAATTTATTTCTCATTTTTTAAGACAGACGACAGTTAGAACGTTACATACTTCTTGACCCCCCCTCTCTTCTAAAATGCGAACGTAATAAGTGAACGACCTCTTATTACATTCGCGTTTTTGGGAAGATGAGGATTTTTTAAGGAGCCGTTCAATTATGACGTTCAAAATTACCGGTCATTTTTCAAAAAAGAAAAATGGATTTTTGGGAATTTCTATTTTTCTTTTCTTGCTGACCCCCTCAACTGGACGTAATAAGTGAACGGCCCCTAACCAAGCAAAGGATTTTTGCGTTGGAAGTGACATCAATTATAATTAAGGATATAAGGAATGGGCCTGAAAATCCAATGTTCAAAAGCGAACCTGCCATCTGTAATAATTATAACAATAATAATATTTTTACTGATTCTTGGTTCGAATGTTTTTAACAAGCTCCTATCAGGGGCGTAGCCAGAAATTTGAAGAGGGGGTGACAAAAAAAATTTATATGGAAAATTCAGAGGGAAGGGGGAGATTTTTATGATTTTTTCACAGAACTCCTAGCAAAATGAAGAAGTCCTGGCCTGCCTCCTAAAAATCCTTTCTAATTTTCACCTCCTTGTGATGCTCTTTTTCCTTAGTTCTTGATGTTTCATCCCAAAACTGACCCAACCTTTTCCAGAATTTTCTTAAGGATTCACATAAATTGGCGAAAATAGGTCTAATTTTCAAATACTTAAAATAAATAGCTCTTAAAATACACCCAAACAGGCAAATTACTGACATAAGCATATGTTCCACCTTTTATCTTTTTCTCAAATAAAAAGGAACAAGGAAGACAAAAAGTATGATCAAATAATGGGTCACTTAAAGTTCAGAAGTTCTATTTTTCCCCTTGATATATAGTTTAATTAATAAAAAGGGAATGATAATGAAAAAATGGAAAAGGAAGGAAGTTGGAGTGATTCTCGTAAAGAGGAGGCAGTAATGGTTAAGTCCGAAAAAAATGTATATTTTTTGGGTAAGCATTAATGACAATGATCTACTTCCGAATATAACCCTCCCTTTTTTGTTGAATTTTATTTTTTACTATAGCCACGGCACACCATTTACATCTTTAGATCCATTAAATGCCATTCATCAATTTCATTCCTCATTCATTAATTCTTGTCCCCAGCAACAATTTTTCATAAAAGGCAAAAAGTAGTCATTGTTGGACCTTTCACACTCATATAATGGTCACATCAAATTACTTTAATTGACTGCTTACATCAGCTTACATTTATATTTATTTAATTGACTGCCATGGAGCTGAACAAGATGGAAATTTACTCCTTTGAAATACTTTAAGACTGTCTCCAAACAAGTTTGTTAACCCCTTTTTTGCAGATCATAAATTTTCTTTCAATTTAATTCTAGTTAGGATCAAAAAAAGTTTCTTTTTTCCTGATTTCCTTTCCTTCCTTTTAAATACAATCAACATCAGTATCATCAAGTTATTGAGTAAGTTGAATCTTTAACCCCGAAAAGTTTTTTGCTGCTTTCTTTTTTGTCCCATGAAAATTCTTTATTGCGACTCTTTTTCTGATTAGCTAAGAAATTTAAAAAGGGTCATTTTATTTTTGGAAAATTGTGACTGTTTGTCTATGAATTAGACCTAAGGCAGTGCTTGATGCTTTATGTATTGTTTATTTGAAAAGGATTTTTTGGTGACATTATTAAATTTCCTTTAAATATTGTCATAATTGGGGATATTTGATGGAAAAGAACTTTATTCCAATGGAAAGCCACAGAAATATGCAGCCTAAACAACCTCAATGTCTAGAGGGGCCAGATATTTTTTGAAAAAATAGAGGACGTGGGATATCCGTGTTTACCAATTTTATTCGTTTTCTGGACAAATCAGAACAAACCCGAATAGCACAAGTCGGTTAATCGAATAGAAATCCGGTGCGAAGCTGGTATGACTCTGGCATCGATTTAAATCCAGCACCATGCCAGAGTCACGCCGTCTAAGTGCCGAATTGCTGATTGATTAATCGACTTGTGCCATTCTGGAAACAAAACTATTTTATTTTTAAAAAATCAAAATAATTGAGGACTGTCTTTTGAAAACCAAGCAAACAGCCAGCCTATCATTGTCCAAACCAGCCAAACCATAAATTAGCAACCCAATAATATTTTCAGCATAAACAGTTTCACATTTTCTAAATCAAAACGCCTAAAGCTAAGATTCAACAATTTAATTAATTTAAACTCAAATTTTAATTCAATTTCCCGAAAATCTTAGCACATGTTACTTCACATGTTTCTCTAAGAATCTACTGATAATATTCCCTAGCTCCACAAACTTTCTGTTGCTTTCCCTACTTACAATTATTCTCTTTTTTTTTATCAAAACAGAAACGTAAAGTAAACAGAATTGACAATAAAGAAGAATTATTGTTCAAAAAGGAACACAAAGCCCTATTTCATTAGAGAATTTATTGGGACATCATGGAAATAAACGAAAACAGAATCTCTACTCCTCGTTTATTTTTATTTTTTTCTTCCTTTCTCGTTTCAAACTTTTTTTTTCGTCTCCTTTCCTCATTTCTGCTTTTCTGTGCTTGAAGGCTTTCACATAACAAAACCCAGATGCTCACTCTTTCTCATCATTTCTTTTGTGCCTTTACATTTCCAAGAATATTCTTGCCTTATTTTTTTTTGTACGTTTCGTTCACGGTTCACTTTCATCAAGCATTATAATCTGATTACAGATATAAAAATTGCGTAATATTATTTATAACGGAACGCATATATACTTTAGAATTCATATCCTGTACGATATATTCTTACTTGACTGACACTCAACCGTGACTGACAGTATGAAAATGTAATGGTCGTGAACGAATGTATGTAATACATGAGGAATAATTTGATGCCATCAGAATACTTTTTTTTATTCATTTCTATCCTCCATTAGTGCTTAAAACTTGTCATTCTCTTGTTGTTTTCTGGCTGATTCTTATTTGTGACACATCCTGCCTCTTCATTTAAATTGTTTATCCGTTGTTTCTGTCTGGTTGGCAGGACATGGTATTTTTATGAAAAAAAAAGAGTCGGGAAGTTTGTTGAATTTTCCAGAGTTGAGATGGCTTTAATGAGAAATCTTTATCATTTATGCGGCAATGTAGCTAACATACCCGCGTAGCCAGGGGATCATCTTCGTCATCAGAAATGCTTTATTTTGCTAGGGTTTTCATGAATTCGCAAAAATACCCCTCCCCTCCGACTCAGTTTTTCATACAAAAAATATTTTTGTCCCCCTCTTCAAATTTCTGGCTACGCTCAAGGAGGGTCTCGTAATCTGTGATAAAGTGCTTTATTAGCACCATGTAGAGTCGGTCACAGACGTCATTTTTTGGTTTCTTTAAGCTAACGTTGGGATTCTCCAAAATTATGGCTTTATTCTGTGTTTCTGAATCTAGATTCCTAAAAAGTAGTGTTAATTTTCTGAAACTGTCAATAAGCATGTGAGTTTTAAAGATTTTAATTTTTACAGCAACGAACTTCATTTGACTAAACCAGTCAAGAGTTCCCCGAAAAACAAACATCTTTAAATCAGATAAACATCCATTCATAGTTTTAAAATAAATCATTTCAATGAAAACAACTCTGATATTTAGTAATTGTCAAGAGTATTTTCATGTTTGAATAGAGAAACAACGTGGGCGAAGTGATAGGATGAGACAAAGGCGTAGAAATGAACATAAATCTCAAGACAATTATTTTCTTTACGTAAGACCTTTTTCAATATTTTTATTTGTGAATTCTTCCTTCCAAATAAAATATTTACGAAAGTATTTACGTATGAAAAAGAGATAAACAGGAAAAGAAAGGAAAGAAAAATAGTAAAAGGCACATTAACTCGATTGTTTCTTAGATATTGTAATGTTGTTAGCTCTGTAGATTGAAAAGGACACAGAAGAGAAAAAAAGGCAAAGTTGTGTACATGATAAACATGCATGACTGCTGGCGTGTAATCTTAAAGAAAAGATCCACATGACCATATGAATGTCTTTTCGAGGTAAAGAATAAAAAATAAGAAAATTTATTGAAGTAAAAATATTTATGGTTCCGGTTATCGGAAAATTGTTGTGGGTTGTTTCTTGCCTTCACAATATTATTTTACCTTTTCTAT